AAATGGAGGAATTAATAACCTGCATTTAAGCGGTGGTTGTGAGAACTGAGGACATGCTGCTCTCGGCCCAGAGGTGACAGTGGAAGTTGGCTTATAGCCTGTGTTCCCCTTTCATCCTGGGGCTCCCGGCTCCCTTCTGCCCCTCCCGCCTCCTCGGCTTGTAACATCCATCCCCACCCCACTTATATCTTGCCCTTTGTACCATCCATCACCCACCGTCGGCCCCACAGCGGAGAAAAGATGGCCTGAGAAAGACGTTTCGGAGCTGCCTGATTCATAAACCCAGGAACCTGCGGTGGGAGTAGGGGTGAGGCAATGTAGGTCAAATCTAAAAGAAGCGGTACTTTAGAGGCTCACAGCATAGCCCAACTGTATAAAAGGGATTAATGTCAGACTCTGGCTGAGAACGGGACTTGAAGTCCTGTTTGCTTGGACACTGTGTTAATCTGAACGCGGAACGTTCTGTTCGAAACCCCCTTAACTGAGCTCTACAGCTGTTTGTGTGTCAAAGTGACCGGCCTGGCTGAGATCCTTCAGGCAAGATTGGGATGTTCTATTCTCACTGATAATGATTTCAACTAGCAAAGTCTGATAATCTATGATTTTAGAGAATATGGTTTCTTACAATGTGTCCCTGTGAATAAACAGAAGCAGTTTCTACAAGCTCCCAAAATAAATCCAGAATCTCCAGGGAGGGGCCAAATTAAGGAGATGTGGTAGGCAGAATAATGCCCCTACATGCCCATATCCTAATTCGTAGAATCTCTCATTATGTTACCTTACATGGCAGGCAAAGTGTACTTTGCAGATATGATTAAATTAAGCGTTTTGAGGAGAGATCATTCTGGATTATCTGGTGGGCTCCATGTACATAATCACAAAGATCACAGAGGGAGACAGGAGACTCAGTGTCAGAGTGATGATCTGATGAGCCGTCACTGGCTTTGAAGATGGAAGGGAGTCATCAGTCAAGGAATGGAGGTGGCCTCTAGAAGCTAGAAAAGGCAGGAGCCTCTAGAAAGAAATGCAGCCCTGTTAACACACCTTGATTTTAGCCCATTGAGACCCATTTAGGACTTCTGACCTCCAAAACTGTAAGATAATATATTTTTTTGTTTTAAGCCACCAAGCAATAAAAAACAAAACAAACAAACAAACAACTAATACAGAAGCAAAAGCAAAAGCAAAATTCAGTTTCTTTCAATTCTAACCTTCTCTAAACTCTGCAAGACCCAACCTGGGGCAGGCCACAGCCCCCTGGTGGAGCAGGCTTCAGTCTGTCCAGGCAGGCTGCAGCCAAGCATCCTGAGTGCACAGATCTCTTGGCGGGCTTTTCCCTGTCGGGTCTCAGCTGTCAGGTCCTCCTCTGAAGCAAAGGCAAGTGGGGAGAGCTCTGTCACTCTCTTCTAACGTGACTCCGCCTCTTGCTGCGTGGGTACAGGAGGCTGATAGTGAGAACTCCACAGGAACTTGGAGATCTATTTATTCACGGGGAGGCCATTTGTCCATTTGTTTATGCTTTTTGAGCAGATACCCTACAATGATGAGCAAAATCAGACATGGACCTTGCCTTCATGATGTTTAAGGTTTACTGGGGAAAAGTGAGAGAAGGCTCCTGTGATCCTCCAGGCGAGAGATGAAAGTGGCTTAGGGGGTGTGGTTGGGGTGGCTGTGGTGGCAGAGATGGAGAGAAGTGGAAGAAGTCACAAAGAGTCACTGGCTTTGATAACAAGCAAAGCAAGGCCAAGGGAATATTCTTTCCATGTGGGTGCATTTAAATTTTGTAAGTTAATGTTTTATTTTATGAAAATGGTATAAATTGTCAAGTAGTGTTCAAAGGTTTATAACAACAACTCTCCCCAATTTACAACCCCCTTTTAACTTTTTTTTTTTGGCTGCACCTACAGTGGAAGCTCGTAGTCTTAACCACTGGACCGCCAGGGAAGTCCCCCATATTTATAAATTAATTGAACAATTTTAGACTTTTTTTTGGTGCTTTTGAGAGGAAGATGTTATAAACTTAAAAACCAACATAATATGAAGCAGGTTGAGGAAATGCTTAGTCAGTCTGAAGAGGTGTTTAATTTTTATTGTATCACCCAACCCTTCTGAGAATCTATTGAAGCTTTTCCCAAATAAATGCATAGTTGCCTTATACAATTTTGCATACAATTTCCGAGGAGATTCTTAGAGCTCCCTAAAGCCTGTTCACTAATCTACAAGTTAACAACCACAGCCCCAAAAAGATAGGAGGACCTGTCTGAAGGCATCCAAACACCTAAAAAGAGGCCACATCAACTGGAGGTCCTGGAAGGCCCTGTAGGCAGGCCCACAGAGAGATAGCCTCGGCTCCCGGACTTAAGACTGGCTCCTCTGGGCCTACATCCCCATGTGGCAACTCTGGGTTGGAGTCGGGCCAGAAAAGAGGGCCCAGCTGACCTCTTGATGACCAACCCTACCCTTTTTGCTGATTTGTAGTAGCTCCCTGGCTCCTAGGAATTCAAAATGTCTGCTCCTATTTACACTCTCTGCTGAAATGATCTTATCCAGTGCCCTGGCTTTCCCTCCCATCCGTCACCTGGTGATGACTGATTCCCAGCCTGACTAGTCTATGGTTCCATGCACGATTCCAGGTGCTTTATATGTATTAACAACATTAATTGAATAAGTAGTACTATAATCTTCCCTCTTTTACAGATGGAGAAACTGAGGCACGGTAGGTTAGGTGATGTAATTTTTTTTTTTAAGATTTTTTTGACGTGGACTTCCCTGGTGGCGCAGTGGTTAAGAATCCGCCTGCCAATGCAGGGGACACAGGTTCGAGCCCTGGTCTGGGAAGATCCCACACGCCACGGAGCAACTAAGCCCATGAGCCACAACTACTGAGCCTGAGCTCTAGAGCCCGAGACACAACTACTGAGCCCGCATGCCACAACTACTGAAGCCCGCGTGCCTAGAGCCCGTGCTCCACAACGAGAAGCCACTGCATGAGGAGCCCACGCACCACAATGAAGAGTAGCCCCCGCTCGCCGCAACTAGAGAAGGCCCACACGCAGCAATTAAAACCCAACGCAGCCAAAAATAAATAAATTTTAAAAAGAAAGATTTTTTGACGTGGACCATTTTTCATTTTTTATTTTTTTATTACTTTAGCATCAGTATCTTTTCTTTTTTTTTGCATTATGCGGGCCTCTCACTGTTGTGGCCTCTCCCGTTGCGGAGCACAGGCTCCGGACGCGCAGGCCCAGCGGCCATGGCTCACGGGCCCAGCCGCTCCACGGCATGTGGGATCTTCCCGGACCGGGGTACGAACCCGTGTCCCCTACATCAGCAGGCGGACTCTCAACCACTGCGCCACCATGGGAAGCCCATGTGGACCATTTTTTTAAGTTTTTATTGAATTTGTTACAATATTGCTTGTTTTATGTTTTGGTTTTTTGGCCGCGAGGCATGTGAGATTATAGCTCCCCAACCAGGGATCAAGCTTTTTTTTTTTGGCTGCGTTGGGTCTTCGTTTCGGCGCATGGGCTTTCTCTAGTTGCGGCGAGCAGGGGCTACTTTTCGTTGCCGTTGCCGTGCTCGGGCTTCTCATTGTGGTGGCTTCTCGTTGCAGAGCACGAGCTCTAGGCTCACGGGCTTACTTGCTCCGTGGCATCCCGGACCAGGACTTGAACCCGTGTCCCCTGCATTGGCAGGATTCTTAAACCACTGCGCCACCAGGGAAGCCCGACTCCTATTCTTTCCGGCATTTATCTCAGGGTGCCTGAAAACTCGGCACTATTGACATTGTGTTTGGGGAGTTGGGGAGCTGTCCTATTAATTGTAGGGTGTTTAGCAGCATCCTTGGCCTCTACCCACTAGATAGTAGTATAGCCTACCCACCACCCCCCACAAAAAACTGTGACAACCAGAAGGGTCTCCAGACATTTTTTAATGTTCCCCAGGGGGCAAAATCACCCCTGGTTGAGAACCACTCTGCTATTTCAAATAACCTTGTTTGTTGGCTCTCATTCTGCCTCCTCCTCTTCCTCTAGAATGTAACTAAACATCAGTCAGCAAAAGCAAGAGCACGGCCTTGGCTCTCCCAGCAAGTACACTGCTAGCTTTGGGATGGAGCAACACGTTGGCACTGCTGACACTTACTGAAGTGGGGAGACTGGAGAGGAACGACATGGAATCAAGGTCTGAACGTCTGACTGGTTATCAGGTCAGGGGCAGGTTGCAGAAGTCCAGGCTAGAAATATCATAGACTGAGTCATCACTGTATGGAAGGACTATGAGGGTGCCCCTCATTTTGGAGCTCTCCCCCATTTCTCCAGATTGTCCCAGACTCATTTCTTTCATCTCTTAAGTAGCTGGGCCTTAATCTGAATTCCTATTTGCCACATGGTGAAAATATTGCTTGAGGAAGGCTTCATTATCTACCAAACACCTCTCATGGTGCTCTCTTCCCTCGGGTTTACAGGTCAGCACTGCAGGCTCTCTTACTGCTTGCAGTGCCTCATTCTGGGTTTGTCCTCTGCTGTTCCTCCCACCTTTAAATACAGGTGCTTCCCCAGGCTTCCTCGATGTGCCTTCTCTTACTTGGACCAACCCTTTCATTCTTGTGGCTATACTTACTGTGTTGACCATTCTTATTACTGTATGGCTACGACTGAATTAGCAAAAATGCATTTTCTTTCAGTTAAATTGCCTTTTACTTTACTATACTCCTGACACAAAACGTATTTTATTGAGAAAAGTCTAGTATAAAGTTTTAGGGCACAGCTAAAGGTTAAAGGGTCACCCAAACCCAGCAAACATTCATATAGAACTCCTCAGCTAAGTACAGAGAGAAGGAAAAACTCCTTAAAGGTGTAAGGAGGCTCCCCGAATGGTTCCCTGGGTTAGACAATTCAGCATCAGGCAAACTGCCAAGCTTAAACAGGGTAAAGCCAGTAACAATCTTTCTGGGATTATTTCCTTCTGTCCAGCTAGACCCACTCAAACACAGGAATCAGTGAAGGTTTAAAAAAACAAAGTTTTATTTAGAAAGGCTAAAATGATTGTGTGCTAATTTGAACAGGTAGGTTGTATAAGAAAATTCCATTTTTGATATCCTTAGAGAGTTGGGACTCCTGTAGAGAAAAAAAAAAAAGTTGAGTTTTCTTACCATATGGAAAAGTATATACCACATGGGTTTAGAAGGGCTATCCTTTAAACCAGCTAACATTAAAAGGACTGCTTCCAGATACTTTTCTATTTATCATGGTTAGTCTATTAAATATGTAATATAAGTACATGAATAGATACTTACCATTATGTGTGCTTTGTTCTTTCTTCAGACCTGAAGGAAAAAAAAAACACAACCGATTTTCAACCAGTAATTTATTCCCTCCTTTGCCTTGTTTAGAAATTCTTATGATCCCTCAGACAGTTCCTTCTGGAACAAGCTTTCCTCTTCTCCCCCAGCCAGCCCCAGTGGGTTCACCTTTACAGGCTCTGGGACTAGGACAGGAAGTAAGACATGTGAATATTTCTTCACTGGGAAATTTTAACTTGACCCACCTTGTGTTTACATTTACTCACCTCTTAACTTCAGACTGGAGTTGAACAGAAATATGGCTTACTCCTTTCCCCTGCGAAAGAACGATTGGGAACTAAGTCTCTAAACCACCCCGAGACAAAAGGCACATCTATGTAGGTCTCAACAGACATTTTGATAGAAACCACCACCTAGTCCACAAAGCTTCCTATTGGCTATAAAGCCCACCCAACCTCCCACTATTGTCACCTTTCACTCCAAGGCAAACTCACAGCTCAGAAAATACCTTTCAGTCATAGTGATCAGACTGGGGCGGTACTGAACTCATCACTGGTGAGTGGAAATCTGTCACAGGTGGTTCACAAATGGCCAAAGACAAACTTTGGATTAAACAAGTAATGTCTGCACAGCTATCCAAAGTGCCACAAAAAACCCTGGCAAATTCTATATAGTAGCCACAGATGACAGATTTACCTCAATTAATTCTCAGGCTCCAGACAAGGAGTTGGACCTAAAACAAAAACAAGACTGAATCAGTAAGCTTAATTCCTGCATTAAAAGTTGTTCCCACCTAAGCTATGGTTCCTAGAAAATCAGATTTCCGAGTCTCAACAGCAAATCGTCAGCCGAACGAGATTCCAGGTAAGTCATCATACAGACATGCCGAAAAAGGCCTTTCCTACTCAATACACTGTATCCACCAACGCATATGAAAAACACTGACCTTTGAGCAAACAAGCAGGTAACCGGCAATGGTACCTAGGGAAGGATGAAGCTGTGAGTGATACAAGTTCCTTACAGACAGTATCCCACTGCTGTCTTCTCCAGTTTCTCAGATGTTCAGGTCTTCTCATTATTTAAGTCATAGTGAGCTAGTCTGATTCATCATAGAAACTGCTTACTTGGTGATATATGCCAGACACTAATCAACTAACCTTTCAACGCGGGAGGCTTTCCAGGAGTAATACAGGAACAAGGAACAAGCTGCTCCTGAATGAGAACGTCACGTAATTAGCAACATAGCCAGAATTATTCTAGCTAGGGTTAATGGATAAACCAAGAAAAGCTAAGCAAGTGATATCCGCAGGCATTTGCTGCACCTCAGACACTTCCTTATGGAACAAGCTTTCATCCCCTCTCCCCGTTAGCCCCAGTGGGTTCACCATTACTGGCTCTGGGGCTAGAACAGGGGTAAGACAGAATGCTTGCTCTCCTCACTGGCACTGGAAACAAGCTACAACCAGAAAGGTTACAAGTACTCACGATTCTCAACTCTTTCCAGGAGTTTGACCCTGAGCAGATCAAGAGGCATCTAGGAAATCAAGAAAGATAAAATAAGGGACTTCCCTGGTGGTCCAGTGTTGAGAATCTGCCTTCCAATGCAGGGGACAATGGTTTGATCCCTGGTAGGAGAACTGAGATCCCACATGCCGCGGGGCAACTAAGCCCGAGGGCTCTAGAGCCTGCGTGCCACAACTAGGACCCGACACAGCCAAATAAAGAAGTAAATATTAAAAAGAAAGAAAGATAAAAGATCAAGAAACATCACTATAAGGAACAAAAGAAACCAAAAAGTTACATGGATCAATCAGGGCTTTTACAACAACCCCCCCCCCCCCCCCGAGAGTTATCAAGTCTCACATATAACCTAACTTACAACATTGGGAAAAGTAACTTACTGTAAGACAGATGTATACATCACCATGAGGACAACCTGCAAAAGGGCAGCAAATGGTTATTTCAAAAACACTAGGATGGAATAAAATGTCCTCATTAACAGGAACTGCCATCAGAACTCTAACATGCTATTAAATGTCGTACCTCACGGAGAATCAGCATTACCACTCAAATCATCTGACAGTGACATGTGGGTGAGGGAAGAGCACACCATCACAAGAACCAACTGTGCCGCTTGCTGGGCTGCCATCTCCCTCCCCAGGAAAATCATTCCAAGAGGAACAAGCTGAAAGGAGCAAAAAGGCAACACTGCTCCACTGACCATTTGCTCTCCTGGTTGTGGGCAACACCAGACAGACTACACCCTAACCCCCCCATTTGCAAAATTACCTGCATTCATCCTGGGAGGCAGCTGAATTCCTTAGGATTGGCGATGAGATGCTGGAGACAGAAAAGGGAGGCATTATATGTACCTAAGAATAGCCATTCAAGGCCCTTGAGTATTTGGGGCCCACTTCTCAGTAGTAAGATGACATCACTTTTGAGTTCAGGCATATGCTTGTCATTTTACGTTCATCATGGAGTGGCCAGCGCAATCTGAAGCAGCAAGTCCCATCCAGATTCTGTGCCCCTACCCGTAATTGCATAAAGCATCGTATACCCACCTGGAGCATCGCCATAATGCTTGATCCACACAGGGACAGGTCTTGTCCCATCCTCCAACCCATAAGGTCTTTTGATTTAAACCACATCTGGGAAAAAAAAAAAGAACACCCTTCACTTTTACGTCTCGTAGCCTAACTGTCCCACGTCAGTCCCTTAACACCTCAGGGCTAAAGAGCCCAAACATCGGCCACAAACAGTGCTACTCAGAATTTTTATGTTTTCTCCACTAATTCATCAGAAAGAGAGAGTTCCACTTTTGAGATCATCCCCGTAGCACATCCCGGTAGACTTCCGTATATCCAACAATTAAACCAAAAAAATAAAGGTGGTAAAGGCACGCCACGAGCACTTACTGTAACGAGAACTCTTTGCTATCCTTTAGTGCTCGACGCGCGCCCGAACCCTGAAGACAAGAGAACATCAGGTCAGCACTAGGCTATCTCGTAAACGCTTTGTTTTCCGGAGCTAAGACTGCGTCGGCCGTGCAAGGCCTGTCTCCTCAGAGTTTCTTATCCTCACGGAGCTCAGTACAGGTCTGTGAAAAGACTCTCATCACAGAGAGGCCCGTCGGCACCGCCCCCCATCGCCATGTTGTCCTTCACAAAGCCCCTGTCGCTTCAAGGCCTCAATGCCATGGCCATGTTTTTCTCTCCCCTGCTCCACGAACCCAATACATGCAACTGAGAGAGGCCAAGGCGCGGACACGTTCTCGTCATTTTTTTTTTTTTAAAGTGTAGTCAAACACACACACTTACCAAAATCTGTGGAAGAATGAGACCGAAAGCTTACCGAGAGACACTTAAATAGCATCTCGCAGAGGTCCACGGGATTTGGGGGCGGGACTATGACAGGCGCAAGCGCAGAAAGAGAGGGCGTGCGAGCCTGGTGGCTCGTGGGTAAAGGTTTCCAGAGGAAGCCCGGGTCGGGTGGGAGGGGGAGGCTGTGCGTTCCCTGACGCGGCGGCGCGAAAGCGGTGCGCATGCGCGTTAGGGGTTGTGCCGGCGCGCCTAACGTGCCGCGGCGGGGACTGTACTGCGGATAACTGTGGGACTGAGGCGACGAGTTCCCAGTTTCCCGCGGATCCTGGACTGACGCCCCGTCTCGGTCACAGCTGCCTGCCCCCTCTCCCTTCCCTGAGAGACCCCCCCCCCTCTTGCGCACACACACCTTAAACCCGCGTGCAGGGTCCGACATGATGGACCGCGAACCTTATGAACCCTCGGCCGGCGTCGTCTCGGTTCCACGCCAGCCGCCCAGCGAGCATTCTGGGTCTGGTCCTCAGGGTCCCAGCATGGGGGGCGACTCAGGTACTACTGGGCCCCGGGCCGAGCTCGAGTGGAGGGCCCTTGCGTGGAGCCGTTTCGGGAAAGTGAATCAGGCCGTAGGTGCTTTTGAAATTTTATAACAGCCTTAGGATGTTTTCTCTAACTGGCCACCTCTGTCCTGCTGTCCAGTCCGATTTTACTAGGAGCTTGGCTTGCAGTAGGGCTAATATTAGCTGATATTTAAAGTGCCGCCTTAAGCACATTACGTGAATTGATTATATTTCAGTTCTCCAGATCCCAAAAGAGAGGTTGGTACAGTACACGCATTTTATAGATGAGGGAATCTAGGTGTAAAGACCTCTTGCAGAGCAGCCTACAGCTCCCGCCTGATTGGCGAGGCAGTTCCAGTCACCTGTATACACTTGTTATTGAGGCCAACCGGCATCAATTTATTAATCGTTTGTGGTGGTGTCATTGCGGTGGTTTCTCTTGTTGAGGAGCACAGGCTCTAGGCACATGGGCTCAGTAGTTGTGGCTCGCAGGCTCTAGAGCGCAGGCTCAGTAATTGTAGCACACAGGCTTAGTTGCTCCGTAGCATGTGGAATCTTCCCGGGCCAGGGCTCGAACCCATGTCCCCTGGGTTGGCGGGCGGATTCTTAACCACTGCGCCACCAGGGAAGCCCGAGAGCCTGCACTTTTTTTTTTTTTTTTTTTTTTTGCATTACGCGGGCCTCTCACTGTTGTGGCCTCTCCCATTGCGGAGCACAGGCTCCGGACGTGCAGGCTCAGCGGCCATGGCTCACGGGGCCTAGCCGCTCCACGGCATGTGGGATCCTCCCGGACCGGGGCATGAACCCGTGTCCCCTGCATCAGCAGGCGGACTCTCAACCGCCGCGCCACCAGGGAAGCCCGAGCCTGCACTTTTGATCACTCTGCTTTACTGCTGTCCTCGCTCTTCTCTGGGAATTTGGGGGGCAAGCAAATACACAGGAAACAAATACCATGGTCCCTGGATACTGGGAGAAATTGAAAATTTCTCAATTGTTTTCATTGTTGTCTTCCCCTCTCCAGGAGCCTTAAAAAGACATTTTCCCCTCTAATCCCAACCATGAAGTTGTAATAACACTGATATACTGTATGTCTGTTTATGTTCCACGGACCTTTGGAGGGCCAGAAACCTTTTTTTTTTTCTTTTTTTTTAATATCTAGGGTTTTTTGCCCTCTCCCTACTCTGCAGGAATCCATTTTCACTCCTTTGGGGGCAGTGTTGTCCTCATGCATGTCCCAGCGTAACACAAGTGACAAAACAAGTGTTGAAAGAATTCCAGTATGAACAAAGTTATTATAGATGGAATAAATTCATTTATTCAATAACTATTAAGTGCTTGTGCAAGTACATGATTGGAAAGTTGTAACAAAATGTATAGAAAATGGAACAGATAAGTTATGGAGAATTCAGAAGGTCCAGAGCAGGCAGATAGGTCTAGGGAGGTTGTGTGTGGGCATGGGAATTGGGGGATGCTTTATGGAGTGCCTGGGCCTTGAAGGTTAGATAAACAGAACCAGGGAGGGAATTCAAGTTAAAGAAACAATTTGAGCAACAGGATTGGAGCTGGAAAAGGAAGTGTATGAATATAGTTCATGAAAGATGGGCTGAAGGGGAATCAGAATATAAAATTGGAAAAGATTTCCTGGGGAAGACCGGATGAGGGGGGCCTGGAATGCAAAGCTAAATAATTTGAACTATAGATAAAAATAAACAGTGAAAGTTTTTGAGTAGGGAGGTGATTAGAAATTGAGGGCTAAGATGAGATAAGGACATTAATTAGATTGTCACAGTAGTTTAAGCAGCAGGTAAGTGGATTCTGTACTAACAAGTGTAATGAAAGGGAAATAGGAGAGGATTTCCATCAGAAGTCTTCAACTCATACCTACAGGAATATAGGTAATGCAGTAAGCCGTAGGAACCGGGTGGGGACTCTGGCGATCTAGATAGCTCTGTCTTAGCTCCAGCAGATTGTTGCCTTCCTAGAATACTGTTCTCTGAAAAATCTGATCAAGAGAATCCAGAAATCCAGAATTGTTTATTAATTTGCCCATTGAAAAAGTTGGCATCATCGGGACTTCCCTGGCGGTCCAGTGGTTAAGACTCTGCACTTCCAATGCAGGGGGCGTGGGTTTGATCCCTAGTTGGGGAACTAAGATGCCACGTGCCATGTGATGCGGCCAAAAAAACCCCAAAAAACAAAAAAAATAATAAAATGTTGGCATCTAACTTAAAAATTTTAAGCATTTTCTATGAACCAATCAAAATATGCCTGTGCACAAGAGTGTGAATTCTCAGCATCTTTTGTAGTGATATAGAATCCACTAGAAAGGGGGGGATGTCAAAAACTGGATATTCTTTTTGGAAGCTGTAAGTGGGTTGAGGGGCTTAAGCACCAAAAAAAAAAAAAAAAAAAACCAATGTTCTTGGGAGTTGGAGATCACGGGCGCAACCTTCGCTTAACGTTTAGTCTACCAATATTATTTATCTGTTGAGCATCTACAAGGCACAGGAGATACAACAGGGAACAAAGCAGACAGTCCCCTTATGCTCCCTTGGAGCTTATATTCTGGTGGAAAACACAGACAAATAATATGTCAAGTGCAGTTAAATGCTGTGGTGAAAATTGGACTTCCCTGGTGGTCCAGTGGTTAAAACTCAGCACTTCCACTGCACGGGGCACAGGTTCGATCCCTGGTTGGGGAAATAAGATCCTGCATGCCGTGAGGTGCGGCCAAAAACAAAAAACAAAACAAAACAAAAAAACAAAACTATGGTGAAAATTAAGTAGGGAAGGAGAGAGGGAGTGCTGGGGCAGAGGGGGAGGAATTGTCATTTCACTCAGAGAGGGACATTTGTGCAGAACTCTGAAAGAAATGGAGGAGAGAGCCATATGAGGTAGAATGCTCCAAGTAGGACTGCAGCACTGGGCTGTGCTTACTGATTTATAGGTTGTGGTTAGGATTTTTAAAACATAACTGGGGAGGTATTATATACGTCAAGGTGAAGTTTGGTGGAAATAATGCAAGTTTCATTACCCATGAAATAAGTGAATGCTGGACATTTTTTCCTTTGAATAATAAGGTTAAAAGAGGATGTTGCACAAGTGAAGAATGTAGTAGTCAAATTAAGTGAAATGTGTGCATGTGTGTGTAAACATATTTGCTAGAATGGTGCAAAAAGGCTGGGGTGTCAAGTAATGGGAAATGAGATAAACAAGGTGAAACAATTGGTGGAGGGTGTTAACATCTATTAAGTGCTTTCCATGACACCTTCCAGGCACTGTACTAAGTGCTTTATATATATTACCTCAATTCAAAAAATAGTAGTTTTTATGGTTACCATCCCCTTTTTACAGATAAGAAAACTGAGTTGTTGTTGTTGTTGTTTTTATAACATCTTTATTGGGGTATAATTGCTTTACAATGGTGTGTTAGTTTCTGCTTTATAACAAAGTGAATCAGTTACACATATACATATGTTCCCATATCTCTTCCCTCTTGCGTCTCCCTCCCTTCCACCCTCCCTATCCCACCCCTCCAGGCGGTCACAAAGCACCTAGCTGATATCCCTGTGCCATGCGGCTGCTTCCCACTAGCTACCTACCTTACGTTTGTTAGTGTATATATGTCCATGCCTCTCTCTCGCCCTGTCACAGCTCACCCTTCCCCCTCCCCATATCCTCAAGTCCGTTCTCCAGTAGGTCTGTGTCTTTATTCCTGTCTTACCCCTAGGTTCTTCATGACATTTTTTCCCTTAAATTCCATATATATGTGTTAGCATACGGTATTTTGTCTTTTTCTTTCTGACTTACTTCACTCTGTATGACAGACTCTAGGTCTATCCACCTCATTACAAATAGCTCAATTTCGTTTCTTTTTATGGCTGAGTAATATTCCATTGTATATATGTGCCACATCTTCTTTATCCATTCATCCGATGATGGGCACTTAGGTTGCTTCCATCTCCGGGCTATTGTAAATAGAGCTGCAATGAACATTTTGGTACATGACTCTTTTTGAATTTTGGTTTTCTTAGGGTATATGCCCAGTAGTGGGATTGCTGGGTCATATGGTAGTTCTATTTGTAGTTCTTTAAGGAACCTCCATACTGTTCTCCATAGTGGCTGAACCAATTCACATTCCCACCAGCAGTACAAGAGTGTTCCCTTTTCTTCACACCCTCTCCAGCATTTATTGTTTCTAGATTTTTTGATGATGGCCATTCTGACTGGTGTGAGATGATATCTCATTGTAGTTCTGGTTTGCATTTCTCTAATGATTAATAATGTTGAACATTCTTTCATGTGTTTGTTGGCAGTCTGTATATCTTCTTTGGAGAAATGTCTGTTTAGGTCTTCTGCCTATTTTTGGATTGGGTTGTTTGTTTTTTTGTTATTGAGCTGCATGAGCTGCTTGTAAATTTTGGAGATTAATCCTTTGTCAGTTGCTTCATTTGCAAATATTTTCTCCCATTCTGAGGGTTGTCTTTTGGTCTTGTTTATGGTTTCCTTTGCTGTGCAAAAGCTTTGAAGTTTCATTAGGTCCCATTTGTTTATTTTTGTTTTTATTTCCTTTTCTCTAGGAGGTGGGTCAGAAAGGATCTTGCTGTGATTTATGTCATAGAGTGTTCTGCCTATGTTTTCCTCTAAGAGTTTGATAGTTTCTGGCCTTACATTTAGGACTTTAATCCGTTTTGAGCTTATTTTTGTGTATGGTGTTAGGGAGTGATCTAATCTCATACTTTTACATGTACCTGTCCAGTTTTCCCAGAACCACTTATTGAAGAGGCTGTCCTTTCTCCACTGTACATTCCTGCCACCTTTATCAAAGATAAGGTGTCCATATGTGCGTGGGTTTATCTCTGGGCCTTCTATCCTGTTCCATTGATCTATCTTTCTGTTTTTGTGCCAGTACCATACTGTCTTGATTACTGTAGCTTTGTAGTATAGTCTGAAGTCAGGAAGCCTGATTCCTCCAGCTCCGTTTTTCGTTCTCAAGATTGCTTTGGCTATTCGGGGTCTTTTGTGTTTCCATACAAATTGTGAAATTTTTTGTTCTAGTTCTGTGAAAAAAGAAAACTGAGTTTTATATAAGTTACTTATCCAAGGATAGTATAGCTAGTGTGGCAGAGCTGTTATTCAAATCCAGTCTCTACTTTTGACCCTGTTAAGAAAAATTATCCAAAACTTGGAAATAGGCAAAAGTTATTACTAGGTGTCCTTTTGACGGAGAGCAGGCCCACCTAGCTTGGGGATTATCTGGTTTTCCAGGGGGTGTGTACCTTTGTTTGATGTCCTTTTTACTATTGCTTTGGGTATTTTACAATTTGATAAGTTTGCCTTGTAAGACATTAGGTGATTTTATATCTATGTATTAGAATGCAAATTCATATCATTCTTGCCTGGACTCTTTTTTTTTTTTGCGGTACGCGGGCCTCTCACTGTTGTGGCCTCTCCCGTTGCGGAGCACAGGCTCCGGACACGCAGGCCCAGCGGCCATGGCTCACAGGCCCAGCCATTTCGCGGCATGTGGGATCTTCCCAGACTGGGGCATGAACCCGTGTCCCCTGCATCGGCAGGCGGACTCTCAACCACTGCGCCACCAGGGAAGCCCCTGATGTCCTTTTTACTATCGCTTTGGATATTTTACAATTTGATAAGTTTGCCTTGTAAGACATTAGGTGATTTTTTGTTTGTTTGTTTGTTTGTTTTTTTGCGGTACGCGGGCCTGTCACCGTCGTGGCCCCTCCCGTTGCGGAGCACAGGCTCCGGACGCGCAGGCTCAGCGGCCACGGCTCACGGGCCCAGCCGCTCCGCGGCATGTGGGATCTTCCCGGACCGGGGCACGAACCCGTGTCCCCTGCATCGACAGGCGGACTGTCAACAACTGCGCCACCAGGGAAGCCCTTGCCTGGACTCTTGACTGATGATACTCTTTTTCTAGAATTCTCTATTGAACCAGTTTTAAATCTTATTCATTCTCATTAATTAATAGGTTGAATAAAATCTTTGACATGTGTTTACTTTATATTTTTATGAGTCATGTTTTCATTTTTAAAAATTATACTTTAACAACCCCTGTGGTACACTGTCTTTTGTTGATCCATTTATTTATTTATTCAGAAAATATTTACTGAGAGTCAGAATTTAAATTCAGGAGGTCTGACTCCCGAATTGGAGCTTTAGACAGTGTGCTAGTGTGGCTCTAACACCATGCCTCCCTCTGGCTAGCATCGTATCTTGCTTCCTCTTTCCAGCAAATGTCTTTACCTTTAAAGAGCTGGCTACACCTGCATTACCTGGGAGCCTGTTAGAAATGCTAATCTCAGGTCTT